GCTGTCTCTCATGAAGAATTATTAAAAACACTTGAAAATATTGGGTTTAGGGGTGTTGTACTGGATTTGATGACAAATTACCTAGCGGATAGAGAGCAAAGAGTTAAAATCAGTGAGCAAGTAAGTTCCAAGAAAGTGGTGAAATACGGGGTGTCTCTGGGTACTGTTCTGGGACAGATACTATTTTTAACAGATATATTAATCACTTGTTTAACCAATCTTCGCTAGGCAAAATTATTAGTTTATTATTGCAGAAAAGAATTTTTTTGAAATAACGCGTTTTTTTAAATATAAACTACTGACAATTAATACTAAGAAGACCTTTTTCTTACCGGTCAATTGTTATAATGGCGCATTGCTACACTATAAAACGCTTAATTTTCAGTTAGATACAAATCTATTAATATCAAAGACAGATGCAATTAAATATTTAGGTATATTATATTGATAAAAGTCTTCGATGAAATCATCATATTGACTATATAGTGAAAAAGTTGAGAACGTTGATAAGTAAATTCAAACTTGTTAGATGGATATTTCGAGAACGCTATTTAAAAATTCTTTACTATGCCTTGGTGCAGTCTCAACTTAGTTATGGAATAATAATATGGGGTGGAGTCACGAATATTCCCTTAAAAAGGCTTACGTATATGCATGCAGATGGGGTTATTTAAGATTATTAACAACAAAAATTATTGGTATTCATCAGATGCACTTTATAAAGAAGCATAATTATTAGATATCCGTCAGCTATTCTTTCAAAATCTGGCCATTAAATATTATAAACATAAATCCAGTACTAAGAAAATAACTCACTTTTATGATACCAGAATAAAAAATATATCTGTAATTCTGTAGTAATACCTAAATATCATAAAACAATTGGTCAGAGATGTTTCACTTAGGTACCTAACTACTATTACTATATGTGAAATTTCTCTGCATATAAGAAGAATTAATTCAGTTAAACTATTAAAAAAGACGATACAAAACATTATTCTAGTGTATTCTCCACATGAAATAGATACTAAAATTGCTGCTATGGCTCTGTTCATAATTTGACAAATAATTATAATCCATTGTTCAGCCCACGCATAAGATTACTTTTGTGGGCTTCTCTATATTTATTTTGTCTTTCTAATGTTGTACTTGTCTTGTGTTATCTGACGTATTACCTTTGTCATCGTTCAGAAGTGATTGAATAAATAAACTCATCAACATTTATCACCCCAAATTTTCCAAAATAAACGTGTTTAGGAAAAATAAACATCGTCAGCCTACTTCTAATTAATATTTAACTAAATAAAGCACAAAACAAATGTACAAAGATTTTTATTCCCGAATTAAAAAATTAAATAAACTAATCTGCAAAAATTATAAAATTTTAATTTAGGTTAAATTAAGTTTTTATTATAAAAAAAGTTTAAAAAAAATTAATATTCAGTTGACCCGCCTCTTACTCTTATGCGAGCTTCTATTCTTCGGGGAATATTTGCGATGAGATTGTTTATAAGCTGCTGAAGATTATTCTCCCAAATCACTGTGGCAGCATGGCTAAGGTCCGGAAGGGCCGCCCTGATTTTGTTGACGAACTCTTCTTTTCAATGTGCATGTTCGATCGGATTCAGATCTGGAGACTTCGGTGGCAATTGTAAACTAACAATATTCTCTTAAACTTAACTAACTGTTGCGCGCGATGGGAAGTCACGTTGTCGTCCGCAAACAAAAAATTTTCTCCTACAGCGCTCCTGCATAATCAATCATCATGTCATGTTACCACGGATCAGAGTAAGAGGCGTCCGATCATTCCACATTATGCCTCCCTAAAACATTGCACTTCCACCTTGAAATGGGAGAACTTCTCGGTAATTAGTGGTTCTAGATTGACGTCCCGGAACTCGCCAAACATGTACCCGACGATCGTTCGACACTAAACTGACTCTAGTTTCATCCGAAAACATGGCATTCTGCCATTGATCCAAACCCCAGTTTCGGTGTTCACTACACCAATTCAAGCGTGTAATCTTGTTATCATTTGTAAGTTTGAAAACTCTTAAAGGTCTACGGCTCGTTAAATTGACCTCATAAAATCGCTTCTAATGGTTTGACGTCACTTGAATTTGGTGCGCCTCCTGAAATTGCTGTTTGGTGGCCTCGGTTGTAATGGTCGGGTTTCTATGGGCTAATTTCATTTCCAATATGTTATTGGCAAGTATTGAAATTGCAGCACCCTAGGCAGTACCTACTGTGTATTTAAGAACACGAAGCGAAGAGTTTGACAGTCTTTTGGTTAAATTATTTTTTTTAATTTTTGAATTTCCTTTTAACACGATGTAGAACTACAAAAATTGGAAACTCGAGCCTATCTCTAGAAAAAGTTCTAATTTGTCAGCAATATTTTCATTCACATAAGATATTGTTCAGGGTACGCACCACTCGCATTTAAGTGCACATCCTCAAGTAGTTCAGGCAAGTAATTTTGCAATAAAAATGTAGATAGTTTAAGAGAGGCATTCGATCTGGTAGTGGCCAGTAAGCATACTGTTACTGTTATCAATATCAACTCAAACAGAAGACGTCCGTTGGAAAGTACCTCGTATAATGTGCGAATTTTCTACAGCCTGTTTCGGAAATTATTTATTCCATTGTGAGTTAAAGTTGCCTCATCTGTTAGTTGAACAAATTTGGCGAAATTTACATGGCGCGTTTTGCTTTAGAATCCATTCGCAGAACCCTTTTAGGATGGTTTTGAGCTTGAACTTATTACATGTGATGCGGATAAATTTGATTTTCACATCAATCACATTTTAGTATGAGATACTTCGACTTGTGTGCTAGTTCTAGTTATTGGATCTTCTTCAGCGATTACTTTTTTATTTCATTGAAAAGAAAACCTGCCCCAAATCCAGTCAGTCAAGGGGTTGATTTTATAAATTTAGTGTTGCCTGTAATGTAACTACTGAGGAAGTAGACAATTATTGTTCGGTATTGCATTATAAGCAATGTGTTATTTATCTAAAATGATGTTTTTCAGCAATGAAAAATATTGTATTCTAGCTGGCCTGAGTTATCCAGCATGTCCACCGCAATTTTCCTGCAGGAGTTCAATTTCTCGAACATTTTAGACAACGTAAATAAATATATGACAGCGTTATCCATTTCTTTTTTTTTCACTTTGAGTTGTTAGTGTAATAACTGAACATTATGATAAAATGTATCTCAAATATTCGAATTATGTCAAATGGCTGTTCCATATTTTTTGAGCTTTTGAAAAAAAAAATGATATTTATAATATTTGCTTCCTTCGTTAAGTTCTATGTAAGGTTAAAATAGTATATTAAGACCCGGTACTTTGAGTCTCGGTTACGACTTGATTAACTAATCAGGCGATTAGACTGTGAATCCACTATTATAAAATAAATAAGTATACTGGGTGATAATGATAAGTTTTGACAAACTTTAGTAGCGTATTCTACCTATGAAAATAATCAACTTTTAACCTATAAAAATTTTTGATAGGACGCTTCCCTACGGAGATATAGGGTGTTAAAAGTTTAAAATATTTATATGATTTTTCCTGTAACTTCACTGACAAAAAATATTTATTGATAAAATTTGGAGGATGACATTTTTTTAGTAGGGACTATTTTTTCTTGGATAACTTATTCCAAAATACACTCCAGTGGCGTAGTTATTGGGAAAGTAGGGGACCTTTTTTGAAAAAAAAAAATCGAACGCCAGTTTTTTTAAATAATTTTAAATGTTTTTAAAATGTTCAGTTTGTGGCAATAAAGTATGCTTGTAAAGTATTCGTAAAATTTACTGGTCATTAGATAACTGGGAAATCAAATAAGAAGATACTTAAGTACCTACGCTGCTATTTGTGCTAAATGTGTAGCAATAAATTCATTACCTACCTAATATTTATCAGAGATTTCAAAACACTATACAACGCCACTGTTTTGTGTGTTGAAAAATGATTGTTGTTTTCCATACAATTAAAAACAGATTTTAATAAAAAAAATATAGTAATCAATTCATTTCAACGGTAAAATACCAGTGCCGTAGGTGGCAAGTTGTTGCTAGAAAACAGTCATTATTTGTCACACATTTTTGTCGCGTTTCTCTGCTAGTTATGATTCGTTATACAAATATTGAATTGGCAGATATACATTTTACATGCAGTAGAGCGAATGGCAATGCGGAACAAGCTGAACGACTTTATGGACCGATTTTTCCAAATCGACGTTGTCCAACAAGGAATACTTTTTCAAGCATTCACCGTCGAGCTCGTGAAACTGCATGTTTGTCGCTACCAAAACGTCTAACAAGAGAAAGATCTGTTCGTACAGTTCATTTGGAAGACAGAATTTTGGAATCTGTAGTACCAGACAGATATCAACAGATTTGGGTATATCACATGTAACAATCTGGAACGTCTTACGGCGTGAGCAGCAATTACGCCCATATCATGTCCAGCGAATGAAAATGACTATCAACCGAGGATTGAATTTTGTCAGTGGTTTTTACAACAATGCAAACAGCCTGATTTTCAGTTATTAATATTATTTACCGATGAAGAGAAACCATTTCGAATTGTCAACTGCCAATGTTTAGCAACTATAGCACCATCAGAAGAGAACGTTGTTTTAAACTCGAATTCTATTGCTCCAATAAATCTTAATAATTATTCAAATACCTAGTAATTTTTATTTTGTCTTTAATAAAAATTGATTATTAAGATTCTACGTTTATTAGATTACTTACCGCCTCCTGATCGGTAAGCAATCGCTTACCGATCGCTAATTTGTAAACGTCACTTATAAATAAAAACATCCTGTAATATATGTAAATACTACCAAACGTCACGTAATTAACCAAAGTTTACTTGTATGAAGCCAATATCATCTGATACTTGTAATTCTTCATATCCCAAAAATTATTTTGTATCCATTCTTTGATGTGTTTATGTGTTTATTTCATTGTGACTCTTGTTTCAGGTGTGCTACGCTATTTGTCACATGATGGGGATGTCATCAGCTTGCTCTAACCCAATCCTGTACGGCTGCCTCAACGAGAACTTCTGGAAGGAGTTCAAGGATATATTATGCATCGAGTCACGTACCGCTGAGTCAAGAGGAGAATCGCAAAAGCTGTCACTCAGGAAACAATCTCAGAAGGCTCTGGGAAGAGAGAAACCAGATTTAGTGACCGGTGCAACGGATTATCAACCTTGTAATACTGTGAGCACAGACATGACTGTTTTAACAAAATGCTAGCTATTAAGGAATTTCGCGACGCGAAACAATGGACATGTTAAGAATAAGGTAACCAAAGAAAGTGTGTAAATATGACAAATTTATACCTAAATACAGAGTTTACGTATTGGTCTTCTGACTAACTGTGCATATTGTCAGACAAAGAGTCTATTAGGTATACTAGGAATTTATATAAAAATTAATTTGATATACGTATAAAGTTTTTATATGAAAATTGGAAAATTGTTTGCCTTACACCTGAAACAAGGTTGTAAATAATTGTTAAGAAACAGTTGTACATATTTCTATCAGAAATGTAAGTGTCACATAAAGTAATGAAATCATGTAACTTAAACGATAGGATATTTTGTATGTAAACAAACAGCACTTGTATGTATATACTCGAATCAAATCTATGAATCTTAGTACTTAGTACATTTAAATGTGACATGTTTTGCTTTGCGTGGTGAAAATAAATCTTCCAAATTTTTGACCAATTGCTCATTTAATCTGGTCAGTCAAGAAATCGGGACATTAGTCACAACTAAAACAAACCGAAAATACTATTTCCGATTTGACTGAAATTGGTACACTGTTATTTCGATTGGCATGCAACATTTTTAACATGCTTACTACATACCTCATAAAATTGTCTTGCCTCATTCTATATTTATATTCATGAGGCAATATTTCGAATTGGTAGAAAATGGCGAACACAAAATTTTATTGTGGTCCGATAATAGTTTGAATGGTCAGTTTTCGGGTTGGAAGATGTAAAAGTAATTATAAAAACGTTCTTCGTATAATCCAATAAAATAAAAAGATTATTAGTTAGTAGATGGTTAGTTATGATAATACATGATGTTTTACTTCTAAACTAAAATACATGAGAGAAAGCTTATTGAAGAAAAAACGTTGCCTATAAACTAAGCCTAATTTTAAAATGAATTTTGTACAATGTCTCGGGGGCAACAACTGAAAATTAATATTCTTTTACGGGTTTTATTTGCTAAGGAATTAATGGGTTTCTTTAGATAATAATTCAGTTTCAGTTATTTGCCTAAGAATGAATTGTCGATTAATTTATACATGGACTGGATATTTTGATTGTTTGGTAAAATCTTACAAATCCGGAAATACGCTTACAAATCACGTTCTGATAAAAATAGTTTTATTTACAGCACGAAAAACCTCTTTATAATTCGAGTTGACCGTAATTACTTACTCAGCAGGTAAATATTCAGGATAGTAGAGTACGTTTAAATAAGTAAATTTCGTGTGATATTTAATGACATAGAATTCAAAGAAGACCCCTTCGTCACTTTTTTGGAATTAACCGCATTCGACCCCCAAGATGGAAAGACACTGGCGGCGTGGCGTTCACCGTAGCAGTGTAGTGCAGTTAGAAGGCGTGTGTCTTCGGTTCTTTTCTTGGAATTCTGTTTCAACAAATACAGGCTTCTTCACGGTAAATGGCCTATTAGACGTTTCAGAGGAACCAAAGACAATATGACTCTGAAATTTTGTTTACGGAGGTTATCAGATATGTTCTCTTCAATGAAAATAATGCCATCAACGTAGCACTTCCGGTTATACCAGAAGTAGCTGTCAACTTCGTTATTTTAAATGGAGCACTCTATTGTATTAACAACAAGATAAATTAAAAGTAAGTCAAAAATGTTAAAGATTCTCTGTACCTAAATCTAACCGTTTTCGAGATAATCGTCATTTTACAAAAAATTTGACAAATGCAAGCATTTCAAAAATTCCTTATATCTTTCTTCGTTCTGGGAGCTTTCACTTGCTTTTCGGAATACACAAAGAACATAAGATGCACTACCTTCCGCTATCAAAATTACTTGAAGAAAATTATACTTATTTTTCACATTACATTTTGAAAACTTAAAACCGACAAATCTTTTTAAATTCAAATGGAACACCCTGTATTTTTCTGCATCATATTATAGAAAATCAAATTCTCTTTTCACAGATATAGACATTGTGGGGGTTACAGTTTCAATTTTCTCGGATATTTGCGGTTTACTTACATTTTCACGTTAAAATTATCATCAAATGTACCTTGAAAGGTACTGTCATTCAGTATTGTATTTGCTCGACAAGAAAAACGCAAAATAATTATTCTAATGAAGATATTTTGAATTTATTACAAACAATAGCGTTCTTTGTAGAACATTGATTTTTTTATATATTTACACAAAAATAATACCTAATAAGATTTCCTTTCATTGAGATACTATTATTAGCAACTGCAAGTACAATAAAGAACAAATCAGTAATCAAAATCTTAAAATTATAGTATCATCTCATCTTCATTCCAAATATCATAAAATTATAATAATGCGTTTATTAGTTATTTAAAATTATCTTATTTATTGTCTTTGCTATTCTTTAATAACTTTTACAACATTAAAAATTAGAGAAAAATTCTAAGAAAACCAACCGAAAACATTTCATTAATTGTTCTGTTTCAGTTGCAAAATACCAAATCATAGAAATACAGCTAATAATTTTGATTCACGATGAATGTTCCACGGATATAAAATAAATTCAAAATATCTTCAAGTGTGGTTTGCGCAAACTTCTATCACGTTTTTGAGATGAATACTCAGGTTAAAACATATGTTTTTTTTTCGTTTTGAGGTCATAGCCAAAATTTTAATAATTTGTTTTACTTTTTTGAGAAATATTGACACTAACAGATTTTTTTGGTAGATTGTAGTGACAAAATTAATTATTTAATATTATAATAACCATTTTCGACTAACCGTAGTTGGTTATGGATTAATTAAATAAAAGATGTTCTGCACTTTCCAGAAGTTTATAAATTTACATACTTACCTAAGAGTTTTTGTTTACTCGTCGAGTACATTAATTCAGCCCCATAACTAGCTTTCTAAAACAACGACAGTAGATTCTGTTTATTAGTGTATTTGTATTTACTTAAAACAATAAGAAACAACTAAGTATGCCTAAATTTTTAATTTTTGACATATATGACAGTGTTAGAAGTTTGACTGCCTTAATTTTAACAGACATTCAAATAAACAAAAAACCTTATATGACAGGGTCCTAAGCTCAACCATTTCCGAGAAAAAAAAATATCAAAATCTCCAACTTGATGTACAAAAGTTAGATTAATTAAGGAATATTGACATAACTGCGTGCATAGAATACCATAAAATACAATGTTTATCACTTTTTTGAACTTCTTTATGCTTAATTCTAAAAAATAATTAGCGTTGTAATAAATTTGAAATTCGAATTCAGCTTCAAATTTTTTGTCCTTTTTAAAGAACCAATTATTAATGTGATATCTGTTTTATCTACTATTTACTTTATTTGAACCAAATTCTGAACTACGGAAACAACCCTATTGTTTTGATTATCGGCTAACAGTAATACATATTATTATACTGAATAAACTGGAAGGTAATACATACATTTGGTATTTTCATTTATGGGATGATGAATAAAAAATTTGAAGTAACCTATACTTACATTTAATTTAAAATTGAGCGATTTTTTGGCAATTCCTTAAAAGTGTTCTAAAGTCTAATGAGAAACTTTTTTATTATTTGCTTTTCGAACCAAATCCCTTGTCGACGTCTTTGCGCTAAAACTTTTTTAGTATAAGATATTCCTGAGGGAACTTGTGTCACCGATATCCTCAAGGAGAACAAGAGAATATATTGACACAAAAAATGCGCTCAGGCAGGAAAGTTTCACCTATTTGTCTTTTATAAACTCTTGAAAACAAAAAGGACAGTTACTTCTATCGCCCAGTTTCAGTGCAGTAGGTATTTATCATTTTGCTACTAAAATGATAATTGCAATAAGATGTTAAATATAATGAAATGAAAAATTTCATTATGCTGCATGTTTTTACAATAATTCTATTCCAATTTAAAAATATTCAACAAGAGTCATAGCGAAGTATGTACCCTTCATTTTAAATTATCCATATAAAAAAATTACTTCAATGAATTTGATAAAAATGTTTTGGTATAATATGATCTATTATATTTTACTTTCTGAAGACTCTATAGTGTAAAAATAAATTTCAAGACTCGTGTTAACTTTCTAAGTTTAGGTGAAAAAAGGAGCTAATTTTTTCTCCTATATTAGTGTGAGATATTTGAAACAAAATTTATATATTTCACCTTAATATTGATAAAAGGCTTCTCTATAGTTTTTTGGTAAACGTCAAATAACACGGCATAGTATTTTCTCCTTCAGGTATCAAAAGTGAAGTACAGAAAGAGAAATAACGTTTACTATTATATTTCCTCTGTTGAAGTAAGTGTCTGCGAAAATAATGAAGGGGATGATATCCATTACTTTAATATTAAATCACACAGTTTAGTCACTTTTCCTTATTTTGCATACACAATTACCGCGGATTAAAAGTGGACAGAAGATCTTGATTTGCCTGTGATATACTTAAAATGCCCGTAAATGAAAAACTATAAAAAGAATTAAAAGTTTTATTAAATTTAAATGCCAGCATATCACAAGATATTGACCACTTTTCTAGCTCAGTAAAAACCTCAGTTAAGACCTTTTCAAATAACATATTTTGTCAGAAATATGCGTTTCTTGAATTTTTTCTTTGAATTACAGTATATTCATGGATTTACACAGTGGCGTCCAAATTGTGGGGTTGTGCCAATGCCTCCCGGTATGTACCTACTCTCCCGAATAATGTGACATCGTTCAAGACACCTTGTCTACACTTCTCTGTTTATAGATAAGGGGAAAATTAACTGTTACCATACATTTCTTAAGTATCGAACACCCCCACAACAATTTCGTTGAATCCGCATTACTAAATACATAAATAATTAATTGCCTCATTGGTTTTAATCAACACATTCAAATGGGTCTCATTTTCACTCTTAAGTTTTAAAAGAACATATTTTCTTCAGATGTATGAAAACAAAATTCGTACCTGAAATGTCAGAATGACTCAGGATCTCTATGATGTGATGAAAGTTTGCACA